ATTATTACAAATTATGGAGTAAGTTGGTATTATGGCTAAGTGGCTAAATCATAGTTTGTGAGTTTAGCAATGTGAATGCTTTTGTTTTTGCACAATACATAGTTTCTATATTGGAGTATCAGAGGCAAACTTATGACTAGTTAGGATTCATTATTTTAAGATTAAGGTTCGTATTTCTGTATTTATAATCAAATGGGTGAGTGAGTAAGTGTGAACCACCAGGTGGTTTTCATGTAGTTAGTTGCCGGGGTGTATCAGGGAGATAAGATGTTTTCTAACGGTAGTTTTGAAGGTGGTGAATGTGTCTGCAGTTCTAGAGTTTTCAGGTAGGGTGTTCCAGATTTTAGGGCCTTTGACATACATTGAATTTTTGTAAAGGTTTAGTTGGACATGGGGAATATCATAGAGATGTTTGTGTCTGGTGTTATGCCTGTAGGTCCTGTCACAACTATCAAGAAAGCATTTTAGGTCAAGGTTAATATTGGAATTTAAGGTCCTGTAGATGTAGATTGCACAGTAGTAAGTGTGGATGTACTGAACAGGGAGTAAGTTTAGATCTATGAAGAGTGGGAGGGGATGTTGCCAGGTACATCATATTATACACTTGGAAGGTCCTGGAGGGATTGGTACCAAACCTGCCCACGAAAATCACTCCCTATGGAAGCAAAAGACTCTGCAGGAGATGCAACATTCCCCTGATGAAAAGCAGGGGTGCCACGAGTACACTAAGATCAACACAATAAGTGTCTGGGGTCCAAGACTGTTCAATTGCCTCCCAGCATACATAAGGGGGATTACCAATAGACCCCTGGCTGTCTTCAAGAAGGCACTGGACAGGCACCTAAAGCCAGTACCTGACCAACTGGGCTGTGGTTTGTACATCAGCTTGCATGCGGCCAGCAGTAACAGCCTGGTTGATCAGACCCTGATCCACCATGAGGCCTGGTCTCAGATCGGGCCGCAAGGGCGTTGACCCCCCGAAACCCACTCCAGGTAAGAGTCTCTCACTGGCCAAGTCTTCAATTGTTGACTCTCTTAGTGTGTGGGAGAATGGTGAGACAAAGTTTAATACTGTGTTGATACATTCTTATACTTCCCTACTTTATTTGAGGCAGAATTTTAAAACAAAACCCAAAAGTGAACTGGAACACTTCCACTGGACGAGCTAAGCTTCATATTTAGGGCTCACCCAAGCACCATTAAGTGAAAAAAAAAATTCTTTATGATCAAATTTTCATCTACAATCTTAATGCTAGGTCAATTTGGTTGTTTCTTCTTTAACCCAGCATTAGCCAAAAGTTTCCAAGGATAGTGCGCCTAGTAATTCACAGTACTCCATCCATCTTCTTGTTAGTACCAAAATTGATGCTTTGAGCATCCTCCTTAGTTTAGTTACGTCTTTTTAGGAGTGCTCTATCTGCCATTTGGGTAGGACACAATGATTTCGCATGCCTGCTGGAAGTCCAAGCCCCCCTTGTGTGCGAGGGGCTTGGACTTCCAGCAGGCATGCGTGAGCGTGTTTGATAGGAGTGAATGGAGACAAATGGTTTTTAATACTTGACGTGCTGTTGGAGTGTGAGCAAAGTAACATTTATGAAGGGATTCAGGGAAACCGGCAGGCCGGACTTGAGTCCTGGAGATGGGAAGTACAGTGCCTGCACTCTGAAGGAGGGGTGTTAATGTTGCAGTTTAAAAACTGTAGTGTAAAGCACCCTTCTGGCAAGACAGTGATGGAGTGAATGATGGTGAAAGTTTTTCTTTTTCGGGCCACCCTGCCTTGGTGGGAATCGGCCGGTGTGATAATAAAAAAAAATAAAACAATGATTTCCCCTACATTTTGTAAACCGTGTTGCCTTTATTCCACTGAAGACCATTCGTATTATTCTTGTTAGCACCCTATGTATATGCAAGAATTCAGACCCTAATATTATTTCTGTATTAACCCTTTGGGGGTTTCAGACGTACTAGTACGTCTCATGACCCAGGGTTTCTGACATACTAGTACGTCTAAATTCTAGCGCCCTCAAATCTAGTGAGAGAAAGCTGGTAGGCCTACATATGAAAGAATGGGTCTATATGGTCAGTGTGCGCAGTATAAAAAAAAATCCTGCAGCACACAGTGCGTAATGAGAAAAAAAAAACTTTGACCGTGTTTTTGGATTAAAACAGCGACTTTGCACTGTATTTTCGTATGGTATTTATTGTTGTATTCTAGTTTTCTTGGTCTTATTTTATAGAATGGAAGACATTACAGAAACTGAGATGATTTTGACTGGTTTTACAATGAAAAGTACCTTGAAATTGAGCTCAAAGTAGCAGAAATGTTTGATTTTTACCAAAGTTCAAAAGTAAACAAGTCATGCCAAGTGTCCAATACACATCAACTGGTGAGTCTAATATTCTTTCACAAGTGTGCTGATATTATTTATACCAGTAATCTGCATAACAGTAAATCTTATTTTTTTTTTGTAAGAATAAAAATTCAAAGTGGAAAGCCAAAGAAATATAAGAGGGGCTTGGGGATGTGACTAATGAACAGAGAACTTGTTATTTTAGTGCTAGGAATGTCTTCCTTGTTTATTCTGGACCCTATTCGGAAATTGGCATCTTTTTAAATTTGTGTGAAATTGTACTCATTCGATAGAAAAAAATAGAGTTCTAGCGAAATAGTTATGATTTTTGTTGACTAGTACACTGGAATTGGCCAAAAATAGGGCTCAAAGTGGGCAAAGTCGCCGATGTGTAAACATCGTCGAGACTGCTAACTTCGCGAGAGCATAATTCCGTAAGTTTTCCATCAAATTTCATACTTTTGGTGTCAGAAAATCTTTTCCCGATCATAATATCTTTTCATAAGAATTTTTTTTTTTTTTTTTTTTTTTTTTTAAATTTGGCCGACCCTGAGAACAAATCTTTGAGAGAGGACCTGTCGACCCCGAAGGGTTAAACTCAAAATTGCATGCAGAATTTAGTCCCTTCATTATGGGATTGCCTGGATACTCTGCCTCTGATACACAGTTTGCAATCACTGCCTTCATGATCCTACAGCCTACGGAATTATCACTGGTATTAATAAAACTTTCATTGTACATTTAGTTGTCACCCATCTAAGTTGTTTCCTTTAAATCATTATCTTAAGAATTGTAGAAACCCGTTTATCTTCCCTTCCCAGTGGTTCAAGTAGGCTTTCTGCGGTGTTCCTCCATTCTCATGTTCTTAAAACCAATCCAAATTTTCCATTAAGCAGGATGCAGCAGTTTCTAGAATTTGAAGGCAATCAGAAGTGTCATTCTCAGGTTATCGCATGGACACTATGCTATAAAACTGGCCAGTTTTAACCTACACATCAAAAATGATCCCAGACCTTTCTTTGGGTTAAATGATTCAGCACCTGTAAGTTGGATATCATTCAGAAAAACTTTGAAATTATTGAAGAAAAATAAAATAAAATAAAATTGGCATCTACAGTCTATTGAGACAGATATACTGACATTGAAAATTTGAAGGGGATCAGAAGAGGCAATCCTAAATTAGTGCAAGGATACCATTGAGCTATTTTCATTTTACAACTGATACCTTACCAAGCTCAGACATCAACAGCCCTAAGGTATACACTAATACCCATCAAGAAGCCATGTAAGCACTCACAGAAGCTAAGAATACATACCCTCTGATGCTTCAGTCTGGCCAGATATACCACTACACTGCTGATCACCAGTAGACTGAAGGCCACCCCACTCATTTGATAATATTGAGCTCACCACTGAGGCTCACAAGCCACAAGGTAAATCATGAACAGAAGCCTACAAGCTGAGTACTGGCACTTGCAGACTAGGTCACAATCCACCACCAGAATGCAGTTATGCACATTACTACACAATATAGCATCCATTATTTACTATAGATGCATAATGCAGGTAAAATGTCACAAAATGCCCCAGACATTCTGAAACAGTGAAATATGCAATAAAAACAAGCTTTCTCTTGTACCAGCATGTTGATTATATTTTGGAAGCACTAAACCTGTAAGGAGGGGTGTTAATGTTGCAGTTTAAAAACTGTAGTGTAAAGCACCCTTCTGGCAAGACAGTGATGGAGTGAATGATGGTGAAAGTTTTTCTTTTTCGGGCCACCCTGCCTTGGTGGGAATCAGCCAGTGTGATAATAAAAAAAAATAAACCTGTAAGGGCCATACAACATCTAAGGAATGGGAAGCAATCAGATTCAATCCAAGGAAATGGAAGAAAAGTCCGATTCCTTGGATAAAGAGCCCCCTCCTCCTCACTAGCATCAAACTTCCCATGAGGGTAGCATGTTCAGTGAGGCCAGAAGTAACAGTCTTGTTGATCAGGCCCTGATCCACCATGAGGCCTAGTCATGAACCAGGACATGGAGGCACTGACCCCTGGAAAACCCTCCAGGTAGGTTGGTGGTTGCCACATTAAACCTCCTGTTTAACATGTACCAGAGGTGTTACCCACCAAATGGCCACAGGTCCATGAGCAGTCCCTGCCTTCCAGATAGGCAGATTATAATTACATTTATGTGACCATTGTTAGATTAACCAACCAACCTACAGGGAAGCCTAAACCTGTAAGGGTCATACAGTGCCTGGCAAATGGGAGGTAATCAGCTTTGATTCAAGGAAAAGATTCCTTCAATTCCTTGGATCAAGAGCCTTTAATCAGTATCAGTGCATTTCCCTGGAAAGGCCAAGAAACTATAAATGAGGAGTACATATATGGGTTTGCATATGTAGCCAAGTGCAAAGAAGCTTGTATTAATTAGTGTCTATCCCAGAAATAGTTAATAAAATGGATATGGATGGTTTGTTGAAATTAAGAAATATAGCACTGTTTGACCCCTTAGAGTTTAGCTCTTAACTTGATTACTGTATATTTTTATTAAAACATTATTGTGTTTTAAGTTTTTATATGTACAAACATTTGTGAATACATTTTTATGTACAAGTTTACTCAGGAATATTGGAACAAAAAAAAGTTATAATAGGAAGTGCTGAATCCATAAGGGGCATATATAGCACCTGAAGTGGGTAGCTCCAATTAATTGGATTAATGTATGCTAATCCCCCTTTCCTGGAGGGTTTAAAACCTAATAGATATTGGCAATCCATTTAGCTAAATAAGAATAGTGTATGAATATATACTGTCATTCATTATAAACAATGTATAATAAATCAACAAAATATATAGCATGCAATATACAGATGTATAGGAATAGGCAGAATGGCTTTGGAAGTGATTACTGATACTTACTGGTACATGTGTATTAGGTTTACAGCTTATAAACTGCAGGTAGATCACTAAGGCTAAAATTCATCCCTCTACTAATATCAAGATTACCTTAATTCCTAAACTAGGGATTTAAGTAACCTCTATATACACATTATGCTTTATAGCAAAAAGCCACACTTAATTTTCTCAAAAATAATTTTTTATATTTACTGTGGATGAGATATATTTGAGATATATGGTATGAATTCTCTCTTATCTAGGCCAAAATTTACTGCTCACAGCTTATCTGAATGAGCTGTGCTCAAAACAGAGATCTACACAAGGGACCCCGGCATCACGTTGATCTACATGATGGCCATGGAAAGGGTTCAGTTGTCTCTGATGGAAACGACACATTGAAGAATATGTATACATGAACATTGACTGTAATCATTGGTAGCAACAGAGGAGGAAGAAGCTGAAGCCACCATAAACTCCATCCATCTCCAAATAAAAATAAGAGAGCTTCAAGATTCCTCTGCCTAATCCCCTTTCCAACCAAATTGCTACCCCTATATAGAAATTCTGGAGCTACCCCTGATTAATGTTTTCATAAACATATACAGTATAAAGATTTAAATATTAATAAATGATATAATGTTACTTTTCACTAACATTGTGAGAAATTAAACATTAATACCTTTCTTATCATAATTGCTAAAGTGAAGTGAAAAGCTTAGAAAAAATCAAATCTTGGGCCTCTTGGTGCTCTGGGTCGGGTAGGCATGAAAGGAGGCTGGAAGGGATTGCCAGGCCTTGGGCCAATTGGACCCAAAGGAAAAAAGGGGTCGGGAATATCTGGGATTATACCAGGCATTTGTGGAATCTCTCCAGAAAAATATGGACTGTCTGGGTCATAAAATGGATTAGGTTGGGGATGAGGAGGAACTGGATATGGATTTGGGCCTCTAGGATGCGGATGCCCAGGCATAAAGGGAGAAGATGGGAATACTCCTGGGATGACATATTCTAGTCCTTCATCTTCCAACCTCTTCCATTCTTTTCTTCGATTCACTGCTTTTTTATACTCAGTTTTCCAATCTACTAAATTTCGATAATTGGTATCACTATAGAGGTTACTGAAGTCTCTTTTGAAAAGGTTTTCCCACAATTTGTTATCATCCATGACGTATTTTAAACGTTGACATGTTGCTCTTAATCTGAGGACCTGGCAATAATCCAACATACTAGCAATCATTAATAGCAACTCATGTGGTAGTCCAGCTAAATGCCATGGGGCTGGTACACCTAAGGCTTCATGAGCAGCAACCTGCAATGGGTGGAGCAGATGATCTCGCAGGGTGCGAGTTAACTGTGCAACACGAACCAGATTATTAGCTTTAATTGGTGAACTTTTGGTGTCTTTGACATAGTCCCCAATAACCAGGCGGACATTGATCTCACTTTCCTGTTGAGGGAAACTAGCCAAGACCTGCTTTACATCTCCCATTGTAACAAGAACAAGAGTACACTTGAAGTCAGGTAATGAACTGTTACTGTAGCGGAAAGTTGCTACCATTTCATTCCACCCAGCTGGTGGCTCTGAATTATTCTCCATATGAAACCCTGATTCCAGCATGATCAGATGAATCAAAAGATTGAGTGCTTGACTCGGTGATGTAGGACTGCACTCGTTAAATATTTTTTCTAAATTTGCTGTTGGCTGTCCATCTTTTGATTCTGAGAGGAGCTCTCTTTCATTGTCTAGTTTAGGGTCAATTTGCCTTTCTGCCAATTTCTGTTCACTGGTATCCTTATTACTACTCTCCATTTTTTCAGACCGAGAAGCTGATGTAGAAACTGCAACTTCCTTTTGAGGTAACTTTTGTTCATGTGAAGATGTTTTAGCTTGTGTAGCAACTGAGGGGATTAGCACTGTTAGCATATCACAATTAACAACACCGAGACTCTGAAGGCTTACATCTTCAGATCCAACAAGGGGATCTGATCCATTGAGACTCACTGTTAATGGCTCCCTGAAAAGAAACAACCTTATTTAACCTTCAGTTTTAAATATTAAAACTAATACTTTGTTGGCTATTAACTTAAAATAAAACAGAATTATGAATGATAAAGATATAATTATACTTGAAATATAACTTGGAAAAATTGTCCCTATACCATTCAAATATCTAGTACAACAAATTATACAAGATATGCTAAACTAAAATTCTTCAGTGGCTACACTAATTAAGGTGTGGAAATGTTAATACCTCTCAAAAGCTAAAATAGTATGTTATGCTACAGATCCAATACCCCCAATAGCATACCAGCCATATGGCAAAGAATACTTTCATAAATCATGCTAGTAAGGCATCATTTTAGTGCTAAGATCCAAAAGCAAGGTGAGGGGCCATTGCTCCAAAAGCAATGGCCCCTCACCAGGATGCTGGTGAGGGGCCATTGATCCATGGAACTGGACTTATCCTCACCTTCCTTGTATCAAACCTGAATGCCTCCTATTTCCCAAGTGCTATAAATATGTAAATTCAATGTTAAGACCTTTTATTTTTGGTGGGTAATGATTACTAAGACATTCATATTATAGCATAAACTAATTTAAACACATAACTACATAAACAAAGAGTTCATCAAACCAAGAACACTGACATTCTGTCACCAGTTATTAAACAAATGGGAACCAGTTATAGCTTTTTTAGTCAATATTCAAAATTACATTATGTGAAGTCATTAAGCAGGGATTACTGTAACTGTAAGCATACACTGGTGGTGACTGGCACAGATTTACCCTAAAATAATAAAAAAGTCAGTGCGATTTATTTTCAGTGAGGCCCTCATCATGTGATAAACAATAAGGACATTAAAAGAAATAAGTCACAATGATGTTAGCATACATAAGACATGGTTCTCATTAGGAAAATTTAACGAGGATGTTTCACTCACAATGTATTAAAAAAGCTCCTGGTGATTCATACACTGGAGCTAGTAATAAAGCCCTTGGTGGTTCAAGTATTGTTAATAAAGCTCCTGGTGATTCAAACCTTGTAGCTAGTAATAAAGCCTTTGGTGGTTCAAGTATTATGTTAATAAAGCTCCTGGTGATTCAAACACTGTAGCTATTAATAAAGCTCTTGGTGGTTCAAGTATTGTATTAAGAAAACCCATGGTGGTTCAAGTATTGTTTTAAGAAAGCCCCTGGTGGTTCAAGTATTAAGAAATGCCCTGGTGGTTCAAGTACTGTATTAAGAAAGCTCCTGGTGGTTCAAGTACTGTATTAAGAAAGCTCCTGGTGGTTCAAGTACTGTATTAAGAAAGCCCCTGGTGGTTCAACCATATTCTCATTAGAGTTTCCCAACATTGCCTATTTATCTTATTTGCATACTTTTTGGAATAATGTGTACCCTTAATGACACCACAATGACTTCAACCAGTCATCCTAGGTCAAGTTTATATACTTCATCAATAATGTATGACTATAACATCTAGTTAAGTGCCCTCAAACCCTTTACTAGAATAAGAAAAACATTTTTAACCAAGAAGGTTAGTAACCTAGGATAACCCAACACAGTCAATGTCGGTTAAGACACTTGTGCAACATCTGGTGATCTTTATTGTAGACGTTTCGCCATCCAGTGGCTTTATCAATACAGATTCTTGGACATAATTAGAAAACAGAAGAACTATATACAAAAGATGAGGTAATCAGTCCCTCAGCCTTGGAGGTGGTGTTTACAGCACCGTGGTTGTAGAGGTTCTCTACAACTATGGTGCTGTAAACACCACCTCCAAGGCTGAGGGACTGATTACCTCATCTTTTGTATATAGTTCTTCTGTTTTCTAATTATGTCCAAGAATCTGTATTGATAAAGCCACTGGATGGTGAAACGTCTACAATAAAGATCACCAGATGTTGCACAAGTGTCTTAACTTTCATCTTGTCGGTATTGTATACCTGTCTTGCACAACAGTCAATGTCATTAGACTTTCCAACTTACTTCCTAAGGGGTTTGTAAAATAATTTATTTTCTAAATAAAGCTCATGTGTCCACCATGTTAAATACAGTATTATGAGGTTATGATGACTGTCACAGTCCTGGGGTAGTAAAAGTTAGTAAAATTATACAATTGCTACTTGGCAAATTTTAGCCAAAAATTATAGCTTAAACTGCACACACAATATTAGGATTGTTTTAAAGAAGAGGTAGTATTTTGTTTTCCAAATGGTAAAACATGTAATCAAACCTAATGAAACCCACCTAACCTACAAAAACTTTTTATTTATTAATTTGAACATGATACAGTGAAGTACAAAGGAATACAGTTATTACAGTGCAACATCTCAAAGCCCCTTGTATGCAGAGCATTATGGGCAGGCTTAAAATTAATTTAAGATTAACTAAGCAATCATATATTCAGTGGTAAAAACATTATTGTAAACAGATAACAATTTAGCACAAATGAGTAGTACAGTATTACAAAGACAGGTCATATGGTCATTTACTGTGTTGCTGAGCATTCAGTAGAATGGAGTATTCTGTTAGGTAATGTAATTAAAAATAATGTTTGATTGGGTCACAGATTAGACATTTATGAGATACAATAATGAGAAACATTTATGAGATACAATTATTCAGTATTTATTTACTTGTGGGTGGGTAAGTGATTTTTGAGAAGAGGCTTGAATTTATAAACAGTGTTTCTTTTATATTCACAGGTTATGAATTCCAGATTTTAGGGCCTTTTATGTGCATTGTGTTTTTGCATAGCGTGAGATGGACACGAGGAACATCAAAGAGTGATCTGTGCCTTGTGTTATGGTCATGTGTTCTGTTGAGGTTGGTAAGGAGACGTTTGAGGGGAGGGTTTATATCAGAGTTAAGTGTTCTATGAATGTAGTAGGTGCAGTAATAAGTATGGATGTTTTGCATGGTGAGTAGGTTTAGAGTTTTGAATACTGGTGGAGTGTGCTGTCTGTAGTGGGAATTTATCATCATTCTGACTGCAGCCTTTTGTTGGGTAATTAATGGTCTGAGATGGTTTATTGTTGTTAAGCCCCATGCACAAATTCCATAGGTGAGATTGGGGTAAATAAGCGAGTGATATAGGGCCAGGAGGGCTGACTGTGGAACATAGTACTTAACTTTCACCTTCAGTCTGGTGCATCTTTGGTTGCATCCAGCAGGCACAAGGCAACTCAATAATAGTCATTAATTGGCTCATACCTGCAATGCAACCAAAATTAATGAACTGTTATTGCTATTTCCCAAATAAGTTTCCACAGGAAATACATACTTGCATATTCTTTTTTCTCCTTCTCTACTTTTTCTCCTTTTTCTTGTCTGGGTTTTCTTGCTTCTACTTAAGGTGCTTTGGTCCTTTACTTTTCCACCCCCATGTTTTTTGTCTTATCGCTTGTGGACCCTTAGCTCTCCTGCAGTGCTCCTCTTTCTTGGCCTCTGACTGACTCCCACTACTACATTTCTCTACTACCTCTCTCTTGTCCCGTCCCTGTCAGCTGGCCTGGAGTTTACCTGGAGAGGGTTTTGGGGGTCAATGCCCCCACGGCCCTATACGTATATACGTACTGCCTCCTTCTCCCCTTTCTGTTAGTGTGACTTTGTAAACTGTCCAAGTCAGACTGAAACGTCATCATAAGCTCCCCTCTCCTACGTGCAGGTTATTTGTGTATTGCAAAATGTAAATTACTCCCAGAGCTTTGGAGAGTAGTGGTTGGCAACCTTAGCCTAAAGTACAGTAATAAAATATCAGAATATAACCAACTGATTTATTCAGACAAGCCAAGTTACTTCTAATAATGATGTAATAAGGGTGTATATATGGGAACTGACAGTTACTTTTTGCTGATGATACTGTGCTTTTGGGAGATTCTAAAGAGAAGTTGCAAAGGTTAGTAGACAAGTTTGAGAGGGTGTGTCAATGAAGAAAGTTGAAAGTGATCATAGATAAGAGTAAGGTGATGAGGGTATCAAACGATTTAGATAAAGAAAAACTGGATATCACTTTGGAGGGAGTATGAAAAAAGTGAATGTGTTCAGATATTCAGGAGTTGACTTGTCAGCAGATGGGTTTATGAAAGAAAAAAAAAAACATTATCCATAGAGGCAAAGAAGGGAATATACAAGAGTATACTGGTACCAACACTCTTATATGGGTGTGAAGCATGGGTTATAAATGCTGCAGCAAGGAGGAGGCTGGAGGCAGTGGAGATGTCGTGGCTAAGGGTAATGTGTGGTGTAAATATTATGCAAAGAATTTGTAGTGTGGAAATTAAGAGGTGTGGAGTTACTAAGAGGGGTTGTTAAGGTGGTTTGTTCATTTAGAGAGAATGGAACAAAGTACAATGACTTGGAGAGCATATAAATCTGTAGTGGAAGAAAGGCGGGGTAGGAGTCATCCTAGGAAAGGTTGGAGGGAGTGGTAAAGGAGGTTTTGTGGACGAGGAGCTTGGACTTCCAGCAAGCGTGCATGAGTGTGTGAGATAGGAGTGAATGAGACGAATAGTTTTTGGGACCTGATGAGCTGTTGGAGTGTGAGCAGGGTAATATTTTGTGAAGGGATTTAGGGAAACTGGTTAGCCAGACTTGAGTGCTAGAGGTGGGAAGTACAATGCCTGCACTTTAAAGAAGGGGTTTGAGATATTGGCAGTTTGGAGTGACATCTAAACTGTTGTATGTGAGCACCTCTGCAAAGACAGTGATTATGTATGAATGATGGTGAAAGTGTTGATGATGAAAGTTTTTTCTTTCTTTTTTGGGTCACCCTGCCTTGGTGGGAAACGTTTTACATGTTAAAACAAAAAATAATTTAAACACGAAGATTGAGACACTTTTGCAACATAGGGGAATCTTTACTGAGGAAATGTTTTCACAAGCCAGCAGCTTCTTCAGTCCAATACAGATAACAGTGGAAGAAGAAGAGTTTAAGGTAATCAGTCCCTCAGCCTGGAGTTGATGTGTTCAGTCCATCAATCTTGAGAAAAGTATAGCATATGTTTGGATAAGTGGCTTATGTACTGCAATCAGGTGAGTAGAAGCAGGAGGAGGCAGGGTCATCACTGGACAAATCCACTAGTGTAAGTAGGTCATGGCTGTAGGTTAGACAAGCACAGAAGAATTGCCTGTATCATGATCCCAAGATGTTGCAGTGTCTGACACATGTCATGTCAATAGTTTACAAAACCAACAAGTTGAAGATTGAAACACTTCTGCAAGATTTCCCAAATGTTGCAAGTGACTCAATATTTAATGTCAGTTTCCTAAAGTATTTTCATCATAATTTACAAGATGGTAGAGCCACCACAACGTCCTTGACTTCTGACAAACATTTCCTAACTATAAGTTTATTTAGGTTCAGGTACACATCAGTACAATTATCATATATACTGACATTACCTAGGAAAAAAAAGTCAGTGACTTATTTTCACTATGTTTCCTAAAACAGTACTAATATATGTTATATTGTAACTACTTTTCATATACTTAAATTACTTACCTGTTTTAACTTGAAGGTTTAAACAACTATTATCACAAGGACCCCAATAGAAATAAGTCACTAACTTTTTTGGGTTACCCTGGAAGCGTAAACTACACATATACTGCTGTACGATTTATTTAACTATGTATGTATACATGTACAAACTTACTAGGTTCTCTACACAATTTATATGTGTATTTATGTATACTTGTACAAAGTTACCATCCAGATCCAACATTACTTCTGACCATTAATATTACCTGACACTCTGATGGTAGGTGTTCTCAACAAACTTGCGTATTTCATTCTTCAGGCTGCCAAGTGTATCATCTTCTAAAGTCAGTATAAACTTGTGTGTCTTGGAATATTTCACCTTCACCTTCATATTAAACTTGATATTATACTTGTCTTATACACACAGGAGACAGGTGCTGCTCCTACTGCTGTAAATTCAGGAATATGTGTTTTTCTTTATTATCTTTCCAACACCTGTTCTAACATCTTCATTATTTTAATTCCTCAATATTTAGTATAGTAGAGATTTCGTTATTATTATGTGTATTGCATTATTTTATTTTAAATAATATGATATTACTCGTGAATGCTTAAAAATCTAAACGTTGCCTTGAGTAGAGTTATATTTCTTGATTATTAACGGGGTGAGTCAAGATAATGTTAGCAGGTTTAATGTTAGCAGCTTGTGCTACATGCAGATGTCTTCAGTTATAATAAGTGCAGTGAGTAAATATGTTAAGAGAAAATTGTAGATAATATTTAAAATAAGACTTAAAATTAAATCAGGGTATCTGAGGTGTTAAAACAAATCAATAAAAGTTGCTATTTATAGCAAGATAGTGGAAAAGCATTATCACTCTGGCATGTGTACCAACCCTTCCAAAAACAAACATGCGTAACATGCTTCTTTTATGTCATAGTGTCTGTTGATTTATTTTTTCAATGTAAAATAAATAAAACAAATATAAAAGTGGCATGTAATATATAAATCTCTAGTAATAAAAGTCATATTTTTATGGTAGTGATGTTGGTAAGCGTGGCGGCTATAAACAAGGAGGCCCGCCATTATTCCTGCAGCTCAGGTAATGTTTTTCAAAGTAATGTTAAAAATGCTTGATAAACTCGCATTTATACGGAAACTAAAGTATCTTGAACCTTAAAACTCAGAGTGAGGTGATTAACGTGCTTCCCGGGTCATTGTTAGTGGGGGTTGAGGCTAAAATTATGAAGATATTAATTAGCGGCAAGTTGAAGAAGGCTTTTAATTAGGTGTCCCAACAGTGTTCTACGGTGCCTCTTACACACCTACCGATTTAGCGCTTCCCCTTTGATTATAATAATAATCTTACACACCTGCTGCTCATCTATATGTATGTTCTGCAAAGTATCAGTGTATTTACCTTACAAATAATCTATATTTCCTTTTGTAAAATCTCCAAATAAATGCTCTGGCTTTCTTGGGTTTTAGAGAATTTTACTGGGTTATTAACTCGGAGTGTTAGCAACCCAGGATAACCCAGGAAAGTATTTCAGTCTGGCTTATTTCCATTGAGGTTCTTTGATCCTCTTCCCCGGTATATAACCCACAGTAGTGACACTAAAATGGAAATGAGTCGCTGATTATTTTGGGTTATCTTAGATAATTTACACTGTGTATGATTGTTGTACTTATGTGTACTTGTACATAAATAAACTTACTTATCTAGGTACCTAATTACTTACCTAGGTGACAACTTACTACCTAGGTGCCTACTTACTTACCTGGGTGCCTACTTACCTAAGTGACAACTTAATTATCTAGGTACCTACTTACCTAAGTGACAACTTACTTACCTAGGTGACAACTTACTTACCTAGGTGCCTACTTATTGATAGGTGAATGAAGGCAACAAGTATAAGGAAACATAATTACTGGTAGTGATGAAGAGTGGTACTAAGGGAGGACTGTAGGAGCTGAAGTTCCCCCCTCCAAAAAAAAAAAAAAAATCCCTTAATTCTCATCATCCCAAAATAAAATTAGTAGTAATTGCACTGCTTCAAAACAAGTCCCCTACCCCCTGTATCAACCACTTAGCCCCCCTTAAGCCCCCCCCTTATAGAAATTCTGATGCTGCTGCTTGTATTGATATCAGTATTAGAAAAATGGGCCCATGTGCAAATTAATGAGATATCAAGTAAGTTTATTTAGGTGCAGGTACACTCAAGTATAATTATCATACATAGTTACATATGTGTAAATTATTTAGAATAATCTAAAAAGCCAGGTGAAGTGACTTATTTCCATTAAAATCCTTGAGCAGACAGATTTGGGCATAGTAAATCCATTGAGCCTATTATTGATAAAATCTTCCACTAAAAACCCTAAACCATACCCAGACACTCCTCACATCACATCACCACATCACATCACCACCACCACATCACATCATCACCATATCATCACATCATCACCACATCACATCATCACCACCACATCAGCTCACCACCGTATCACCACCACCACATCACCACCACTCCACCACCACCACTCCACCCCACCACTCCACCCCACCACTCCACCACCACCACTCCACCCCACACTCCACCCCACCACTCCACCCCACCACTCCACTCCACCACTCTGCCCTACTGCTGCCTCACTAACCCCTCCACCCTCGCAACCCCTGCCACCACCAGCCCCGCCACAACCCCCACCATCCCCCTCCAACATCATCCCCCACCACCATCATCCTCTCCACTCCAGTGTTGTAGTAGCAACTAACCAGTATTATAATGGTACTTAGTGGAGTGGAGTGACTTTCATTAGTTTCTTTTTCTTGAAATACCAGACGTTACTGTGAATTTCATATAACCTGTAGTTACCAGCGGTCGCAATATACACAACGAGTAGCAATTATTACTACAGAAAAAGCGTCCTTCCTCCAAAATTTGCACCAGTCAACTATAGTGATAATATAGCATTTATTGTGGTGGAGAAGAAAAAAAAAAAATAGAGAAGCTAGATACAGCGATTGATAAACAAGGGTGGAGGTCGACCGTTCATCATTGTAGGAGTGCCAGCAGTCACCGGCTCTTCAACACGCAAGTTATACTTTTGTATCAATCAAATCACATATTACTCGGGTAGATAATTTCCAGTAGATCCTTCATGTGTTAGCTCAAATCACCGACCAGTATGGTTTAAATAAGTGACCCACTGATCAGATCAGATAGACTGGTCCGAACCCTTGACTGGTCCGAACCCTGGACTGGTTTCAAACGGTTTCGTTGTGCACCACCTAGCAGGTTATTAATAGAATATTCAAGAGGTTGCTAGTAGAATTGCAGTAAATCAACCATTCAAATCATTATGAAGCTGTGTGTAGTCTGTGGTCAGTCAAACAAACGGGCTTCCACATGCATAAATTGTCATTTCTGTGGAAATTGGTGTCACGCCCCTTGTGCAGATATCCAAGAACTAGCTACAAGCAGTATTAAAACAGGGAAGTGTTTTTGGGTATGCCCAAATGAGATAAATCTGTGGATTAAATCACAAGGGTATTAAAAGAGGTCAACATCAAAGCTGCTTTCATAGAAAACCTGGAAGCTTTCTACAACAGATGGGAACATAAAAAGTCCGGGCTGAATGGTACTGCCCTTGATACTGGCCATGTAGTCAGAAACTGTAAGGCTGGAGATGATGTCCTGGTAGTCAGTAAATGGGGGGCTGATAGTGCTGTCCTGGGAGACAGTAATGGGGAAGCTGGAGGTGCTGTCCTGGGAGACAGTAATGGTGAAGCTAGGTGCTGTCCTGGGAGACAGTAATGGTGAAGCTGGAGATGCTGTCCTGGGAGACAGTAATGGGGAAGCTGGAGATGCTGTCCTGGGAGACAGTAATGGTGAAGCTGGAGATTTTGTCCAGGTAGTCGGGAATTATACGCAGGAAGGAATACATATAAATGACCTCATAGGGGACAGGAGCCATAGTAGGGAAACAAGTGTAGTCAAAGATAAGATAAAACCAATATTGCAAAACTAGAAATATCGCAGGAAATAGCAAACAAGAGGACTCCACTAGCAATAGTGAGGATATATTACCAAAAACAACTGTGGGAGCTCCATTGTTGGTGCTAGGGAGGATAGAAGTAAGACAGGAAACATGCACCAACAGGGAATACAGTCACAGAAACCCAAGGCAAACGGAAACCAAGCCTGTGCACATACTATGCACTCGGTATCTGCTGGCATGGGAAATCTGGAAAAACAGATGGGACGTGCAACTATGACCACCCTAGGAATGCCATGCCCATATGACAACAGGAAAATGCAAACTCCCTTCCTGTAAGCTTTTTCACCCTGAACTGTGTCCCTCTTCAGTACAGGAAAGACTGTGCTATAACTTAAATTGCCAGGCATACCATCTAAAGGGGACAAAAAGATACAAAACATCCAGGCCATGGGAAAACTGGGTAGCCACAGCCACTCAAGGGGGAGAGGTTTTTTAGTGCCAGGAAGGAAAAAAAAACTGGCAGGAAATGGCAGAAATCGTACACCAAATCCAGTCATTCCTGGAGTGGAACCAAAGTCGATGGCCTCCACTCCAAACCAACAGATACAGATACTAATGCCGGGAAAAAAAATCCCCCCCCAGTACCAACAATACCACCAGTCCGATAACATTCTTCTTTGCAAATATACAGGGTCTAAAGCCAGCAACAAACAACAAAATACCTTTCATCCGTGGACTGCTTGCAGAGGCAAAGGCAATGTTCGCGGCTTTCACTGAGACCCACATAAAGGATCACTTGGACAACGAAATATGGATCCCAGGTTACAACCTATACAGATGTGACAGAGTGAACAGGCAAAAGGGGGGGTTGGCCTGTACATTGCAGAGTCACTTGTTTGCACAGAACTGCTAAATGCCTCAAATGATGTAGTGGAAGTTTTAGCAGTAAAGGTCGAGAACCAAAACCTAGTCATTGTGATAGTCTACAAGCCTCCGGATGCAACATCCCAGCAATTCCAGGAACAGCTGTTAAAAATTGACCACTGTCTTGAAAACCTTCCAGCTCCTGCACCCAACATCTTGCTCCTGGGGGATTTCAACTTAAGGCACCTAAAATGGAGGAATATAGCAAATAATATTGTTGCAGTAATAACACCAGGAGGCAGCTCTGATGAAAGCTCACACTGACGCGAGCTTTTAAATCTCTGCACAAAATTCAATTTAAACCAGCAAATAATAGAGCCTACTAGACTGGAGAATACACTAGACCTCATCTTCACTAACAATGATGATCTGATAAGAAATATCACCATATCAAAAACAATATACTCAGATCACAACATAATTGAGGTTCAGTCATGTATGCGCGGAGCCCCAGACCGCCATAATGAGATTAGTCACGAGGGAGCATTCACCAAATTCAACTTCAATAACAAAAACATAAAGTGGGACCAAGTAAACCAAGTCCTAACCGATATAAGCTGGGAAGATATACTAAGCAACACAGACCCCAATTTATGCCTAGAACAGATTAACTCGGTGGCACTCGATGTATGCACAAGGCTTATTCCTCTAAGAAAAAGGAGGAGTAGATGTAAAACAGAAAGAGACAGGCGCTCCCTTTACAGGCGACGGAAAAGAATAACAGAGCGGCTAAAAGAGGTCAATATATCTGAAATGCGTAGGGAGACACTGGTCAGAGAAATAGCAAGCATCGAACTTAAGCTAAAAGAATCCTTTAGGAGTCAGGAATCGCGGGAAGAACTAAAAGCCATAAATGAAATCGAAAGAAACCCAAAGTATTTCTTCTCCTATGCCAAATCAAAATCGAGAACAACGTCCAGTATTGGGCCCCTACTTAAACAAGATGGGTCCTACACAGATGACAGCAAGGAAATGAGTGAGCTACTCAAGTCCCAATATGACTCAGTTTTTAGCAAGCCGCTAACCAGACTGAGAGTCGAAGATCAAAATGAATTTTTTATGAGAGAGCCACAAAATTTGATTAACACAAGCCCATCCGATGTTATCCTGACACCAAATGACTTCGAACAGGCGATAAATGACATGCCCATGCACTCTGCCCCAGGGCCAGACTCATGGAACTCTGTGTTCATCAAGAACTGCAAGAAGCCCCTATCACGAGCCTTTTCCATCCTATGGAGAGGGAGCATGGACACGGGGGTCGTCCCACAGTTACTAAAAACAACAGACATAGCCCCACTCCACAAAGGGGGCAGTAAAGCAACAGCAAAGAACTACAGACCAATAGCACTAACATCCCATATCATAAAAATCTTTGAAAGGGTCCTAAGAAGCAAGATCACCACGCATCTAGAAACCCATCAGTTACACAACCCAGGGCAACATGGGTTTAGAACAGGTCGCTCCTGTCTGTCTCAACTATTGGACCACTACGACAAGGTCCTAAATGCACTAGAAGACAAAAAGAATGCAGATGTAATATATACAGACTTTGCAAAAGCCTTCGACAAGTGTGACCATGGCGTAATAGCGCACAAAATGCGTGCTAAAGGAATAACAGGAAAAGTCGGTCGATGGATCTATAATTTCCTCACTAACAGAACACAGAGAGTAGTCGTCAACAGAGTAAAGTCCGAGGCAGCTATGGTGAAAAGCTCTGTTCCACAAGGCACAGTACTCGCTCCCATCTTGTTCCTCATCCTTATATCCGACATAGACAAGGATGTCAGCCACAGCACCGTGTCTTCCTTTGCAGATGACACCCGAATCTGCATGACAGTGTCTTCCATTGCAGACACTGCAAAGCTCCAGGCAGACATCAACCAAATCTTTCAATGGGCTGCAGAAAACAATATGAAGTTCAACGATGAGAAATTTCAATTACTCAGATATGGTAAACATGAGGAAATTAAATCTTCATCAGAGTACAAAACAAATCTGGCCACAAAATAGAGCGAAACACCAACGTCAAAGACCTGGGAGTGATCATGTCGGAGGATCTCACCTTCAAGGACCATAACATTGTATCAATCGCATCTGCTAGAAAAATGACAGGATGGATAATGAGAACCTTCAAAACTAGGGAGGCCAAGCCCATGATGACACTCTTCAGGTCACTTGTTCTATCTAGGCTGGAATATTGCTGCACACTAACAGCACCTTTCAAGGCAGGTGAAATTGCCGACCTAGAAAATGTACAGAGAACTTTCACGGCGCGCATAACGGAGATAAAACACCTCAATTATTGGGAGCGCTTGAGGTTCCTAAACCTGTATTCCCTGGAACGCAGGAGGGAAAGATACATGATTATATACACCTGGAAAATCCTAGAGGGACTAGTACCGAACTTGCACACGAAAATCACTCACTACGAAAGCAAAAGACTTGGCAGACGATGCACCATCCCCCCAATGAAAAGCAGGGGTGTCACTAGCACGTTAAGAGACCATACAATAAGTGTCAGGGGCCCGAGACTGTTCAACTGCCTCCCAGCACACATAAGGGGGATTACCAACAGACCCCTGGCAGTCTTCAAGCTGGCACTGGACAAGCACCTAAAGTCAGTTCCGGATCAGCCGGGCTGTGGCTCGTACGTTGGTTTGCGTGCAGCCAGCAGCAACAGCCTGGTTGATCAGGCTCTGATCCACCAGGAGGCCTGGTCTCAGACCGGGCCGCGGGGGCGTTGACCCCCGGAACTCTCTCCAGGTAAACTCCAGGTAAACTCCTGCCACCAGACCCACCACTGATAAAACCAGTTTGAATTTTTCCTGTGATTCTTAGGGATGTAATAATAGCCTAGCTTATTTAGCAGATATTTGTAAGTGGAGGATGCAGTAACTATTAAACCCCACAATATTCTCCAAAAATTGCGAGGTTTAATATTTGGGGCTCCAAATCTTAAATTAAGATATCTCATAATTATCTTCCTACCTTTTTGTACATCTTTAAACAGTTCCATAAGATCCATTATGTCAGTATTAATATTTTTACCAAATCATAATTTTGTGTTCAGTTAACAGAATTGTGTTTAGAACGTCAGAGTAAAAATGTCAGTGCATCCGCCCCCCAAGAGGAAAGAAATCTACAAATACTCAGCACCATGGACTCTGTACAGCATGAATTGGTCTGTACGACCTGACAAAAGATTCAGGTACAGTGTACTAACAAATTCAAGTTATGTAGAATAATATATTATCAGTTTCCTTTTAATAATAGTTATAACTTACATTACATGGTGGGTAATTTGGGATTAAGGATGTAACATTGTATAAAAATTAAACTTCTACTATTTAAACTTGCATTTCATTGTGAGACAACAAGGAAATGAGACATGAGTTATTGAGCACACATACAACCAGTCACTCAGTTTACACATTGCACTTTTTACAAACCCTGTTCCATTAAAACTTTTCACCACATATCATGTCTTGCAATTTCCCCCACTAAATTTTTTTTTCTCTTTTATTAATACATCAGCCATTTCCCACCAAGACAGGGTGACCAGAAAAAGAAAAACATTCATCATCATTCTTTCCATCACTGTCTTGCCAGTTATAAAACTGCAACATTAACACCCCTCCTTCAGAGTGCTGTACACTGCACTTCCTATCTCCAGGACTCAAGTCCAGCCTGCCAGTTTCCCTGAATCCCTTCATAAATGTACCATGCTCACACTCCAACAGCACGTCAAGTCCTAAAGACCATTTGTCTCCATTTGCTCCTATCTAACACACGCATATTTGCTGGAAATCCAAGGCCCTCGCACACAAAACCTCCTTTACCCCCTCCCTTCAACCTTTCCTAGGCTGACTCCTACCCTGCCTTCCCTCCACTACAGATTTATATGCTCTCCAAGTCATTCTATTTTGTTCCATCCTCTACATGTCCGAACCACCTCAACAACTCCTCCTCACCCCTCTGGTAACCCCACACCTCCACCTAATTTCCAAACTATGAATTCTCTGCATTATATTCACACCACTCCATTGGGTCCACAGAAAACCCACATTGGGTTGTGAGAGTAGGAAAACCTGTTGATATTATATTAAGGATACATATTGTATATACTATAAAGGCCTTGTTCACCCTTGCTGAACAAGTGTTTGCAGAAAGTTTTGGTGTTCATACACTTAAGTGGGGCAGCTTGACCTACCACAATCCACTTATCCTACTTTTATTGTATGCTGATCACATCTTTACCTTGGCTTATGATTACTCTCAGCCAGTACTCTGTCTAGGATTTGTGGCTGTCCCTACTGCTTCTTGATTATAGCTGCTGGATGGTCAGTCACATTGGTGGGCACATGAGACTTACAACAGTCATGATGACTTACTGGTTTGCTTGTTGGTGGATTGGACAGATTCGCTCCATTTGCAGAGATTCTTATGAGTGTGTAACGTATATCATCACATGTGAGCCCACTGTACAAGGTCATGCCCTTTCTTATGCTTTGGCCTTTGTGTGGCTGTCAATGGGACTTGGGTGCTGTCTATTTCCTTGGGCTTCCTCTGCCTATTATCTGTGGTTCATAGCTGGCTGTTTTCCCATGACCTGCTATTGTTGAAAGATTAATCCCTAGCCTCTGCTCTGTTTCCTTTCTGGCTCTCTGTTGCAGATGACTTTCATCTGTTGGCAAGCCTCCCAGCATACATAAGGGGGATTACCAACAGACCCCTGGCAGTCTTCAAGCTGGCACTGGACAAGCACCTAAAGTCGGTTCCTGACCAGCCGGGCTGTGGCTCGTACGTTGGTTTGCGTGCAGCCAGTAGTAACAGCCTGGTTGATCAGGCTCTGATCCACCAGGAGGCCTGGTCACAGACCGGGCCACTGGGGTGTTGACCCCCGGAACTCTCTCCAGGTAAACTCCAGATAGGCAGGTTTATTCCTGAGCCAGTGCCTCAATATATGTCAAACTCCACTTTGTTACAGTTCCCTGTCTCAGCCTACTGCATATAGTTCCTGGAGATTGGGGATCTCTATGATACTCATGCATATGCTGGTTCTCTTCCTTCTCTCTTCTTCTTGCCCCTCTGCTACTTGGAGCCCCTCTCCCAGGGTCTACTCTAACAGAGACACCCTCAACATGGCTTGTGAGTTTTTTTTTTTTTTTTTTTTTTTTTTTTTTTTTTTTTTTTTTTTTTTTTTTTTGGGTGCCTGTGGGAGGAGGCACTGGCTTGCTCTCCACTGCATGACATAGGGGTACCTAGGTGATACTTTTGCTCTCTCCATTCATGAGATGAGTTCAGGCTTTTCACCTGAGGTTGTTCCCTGTTGTGTCTGATCATCTAACCACTCACATTATAACTTCATTTTTTGTCTTCAGACTTAGAACTTATGCAGTGGGTTCATGTCCCAGCCCAGAGACTTACTGAGCAAACTACTGTCTGTGATTTGGGGCAGGTGGGGTTCAACATTTTTCCAGCAAATTCCTCATTGCTCATATTGTCTGTTGTTTGAGATCTTCAGGAAGCAAGGTGGCAGGTGTGCCAGATTTCTTTCCATGTTTCTTCCCCAGTTTTTTCTCTCAGTGCAGTGTGGAATTTCATGTCCTATGCATATGCATTTGCCCTGGTTTGAGTTGTGATCCATCTGTCAGGTTTTACTCTCATATTATTATTAAATTGCAGTATTGTATTACTGTTACCTAATGTAAAAAATTGTATCCGAGTTTGCACCCAATTTGGCTGGACTCGAACTCTGATAACTTTTTTTTATTATTATGTATCATGCTACACTTTTAATATACTCTTTGTGTGTGTGTGTGTGTGTGTGTGTGTGTGTGTGTGTGTGTGTGTGTGTGTGTGTGTACTCACCTATTTGTGGTTGCAGGGGTCGAGTCATAGCTCCTGGCCCCACCTCTTCACTGATTGCTACTAGGTCCTCTCTCTCCCTGCTCCATGAGCTTTATCATACCTCGCCTTAAAACTATGTATGGTTCCCGCCTCCACTACTTCACTTTCTAGACTATTCCACGACTTGACTACTCTATGACTGAAGAAATACTTCCTAACATCCCTTTGATTCATCTGAGTCTTCAACTTCCAATTGTGACCTCTTGTGTATGTGTCCCATCTCTGGAACATCCTGTCTTTGTCCACCGTGTCTATTCTGCGCAGTATTTTATATGTCGTTATCATGTCTCCCCTGACCCTCCTGGCCTCCAGTGTCGTCAGGCCGATTTTCCTCAACCTTTCTTCGTACGACAATCCCGTAGCTCTGGGACTAGTCTTGTTGCAAACCTTTGCACTTTCTGTAATTTCTTGACGTGCTTGACTAGGTGTGGATTCCAAACTGGTGCTGCATACTCCAGTATGGGCCTGACGTAAATGGTATACAGTGTCTTGAACGACTCCTTATTGAGGTATCGGAACGCTATCCGTAGGTTTGCCAGGCGCCCGTATGCTGCAGCAGTTATCTGATTGATGTGCGCCTCAGGAGATATGCTCGGTGTTATACTCACCCCCAGATCTTTTTCCTTGAGTGAGGTTTGCAGTCTTTGGCCATCTAAACTATATTGTGTCTGCAGTCTTCTTTGCCCTTCCCCAATCTTCATGACTTTGCATTTGGCAGGGTTAAACTCAAGGAGCCAGTTTCTGGACCAGGCTTGTAGCCTGTCCAGGTCTCTTTGTAGTCCTGCCTGATCCTCATCCGATTTGATTCTTCTCATTAACTTCACATCATCTGCAAACAAGGACACTTCTGAGTCTATCCCTTCCGTTATGTCGTTCACATATACCAAGAACAGCACAGGTCCTAGGACTGACCCCTGTGGAACCCCGCTTGTCACAAGCGCCCACTCTGACACCTCGTCACGTACCATGACTCGTTGTTGCCTCCCTGTCAGGTATTCTCTGATCCATTGCAGTGCCTTTCCTGTTATGTGTGCCTGTGTGTTATGTGTGTATGTGTGTGTGTGTGTGTGTGTGTGTGTGCGTGTGCATGTGTGTGTGCGTGCATGTTATCTTTGTTGGAATTAATGTCTTTAATAACTTTGTGTACACATAGGTGTAATGTCTATTGTCTATTCTGCTCTATTAATCTTAAGTTGTATCATGCCTGAAATGCCATGTATAACCAGGGGCTTTCCTTGAATATTATTAAATGTCATCCAGTCTTGTAACCCATGTACTGTATCTTGTGGAAATAAAAGTTTGCTTGTTTTGTTCAGCATGAATGGTCTTAATTGTTGAATCTTGACAGTTTTTTTCCATCTTTCAGTTTATTACAGTTTCCACATGTTCATCTCTGGTCTATCTCAGGCTAACCTACCTGTTGGTGGCTCTTGTCTTTCAGCCTCAAGAGTTTTCTGTGGGTTTTTTGTCTATCTCTGTTACACTCTTGTTTGCAGTCTCTATGCTGTACTGGGGTTTCTGTGTATCTTCCTTGACAACATTCTAGTGACTAGCTCTTAATGTTCCTGACTGAAGTTTGGTGCATAGAATCTTTCCTCATTTTTTTGCATTCATTCATAACTGGCACCTCCACTACTGGAGAAGGGCTGTGCTCAACGTGTCTTCACTGCTGCAGGGCTCTGGCACTCTTACCGAGTTTGATGACTCTCTTCACTGTTTATATGGTAGCTGTGCACTGGACTCCTTTTGGAGGTTTTCTGTCAATCACTTAGTCCCATGATTCTGTGTTGTTGCCCCAACTCAAGAATATTTTCCACCTTCACTCTCATGGCAAAGATCTTCCGCTGTGTGAAGTATTATATTCATGGAAAGAACAATACTGTTATGGCCATACAGAGCTGCACTGCAGAGTACAGTGGACCCCCGGTTTTCGTAATTAATCCGTTCCAGAGAGAGTGACTAAACCCGAATATGACGAATTCCGATTAATTTTCCCCATAAGAAATAAAGGAAATCCAATTAATCCGTTTCAGACACCCAAAAGTATTTAAAAAATGTTTTCTACATGAAATATACATTTACCTACACAGAAGAGAATGATATATGAAGAATAAAACAATAATAACATCACACTTACCTGTATTGAAGACATGGTGATGTATGGGAGACGAGAGGAGGGGAGAGGCTGGAGGAGTTTACAATTGTTTGGAAGGGGAATCCCCTTCCATAAAGACTTCAGATACCAAGTCCTTATCCTGGGTTACTTCCCTTCTTTGTTTTTTAATGCCACTAGGACCA